TAGTAGTAACAAGAAGCTACTAAGAACAAGTGCTTAGTTAAAGGAAAAGTCTACAACAAGAAGCTACTAGAAACAAGTGCCACGCTAGCGTCCGATCGCTCCTAGTAGTAAGGCCAGGAGCCCCTAGTAGCGTCCTTGCTCCTAGTAGCGATGCACTTGTTACTAGTAGCGATGCACTTGTTTCTACTAGCTTCTTTGTTACAGATGTTTGTTGTTTTTAAGCAAAGAAGTTAGAAGAAACGGTTTCGCCAACTGAATTTGAGGCCCGAGTCTCTCTCCAATGACGTGGCCCGGATTCGCCTCTTCGCGGGCGGGAAGGCGGAGATGGAGTTTTGAACGGAAGAAGAGTTGAGAAGAAAAAGAGTAGTTACTAGGAGCTATTAGTAACAAGTGCCACGCTAGTAGTAACAAGTGCCTTACTAGTAGTAACAAGAAGCTATTAGAATTAAATTTAAATAGCTTCTTGTTACTAGTAAGAATGCTCCTAGTAGCGATGCCAGGAGCCCCTAGTAGCTTCTTGTTCCTAATAGGTAGTAATGCCCTTGTTACTAGTAGCGATGCCCTTGTTCCTAGTAGCATTCTTGCTCCTAGTAGTAAGGCCACGAGCCCCTAGTAGCGTCCTTGCTACTAGTAGCGAATGCCCTTGTTACTACCAGCGTTTGGTCCGCCGGACATCGACCGATCGGCCCCTTCCAGGAGATCGGCGGGAAGGATGGAGCAGATCAGCAACGACTCAGCGACACGAAGATCCTTGACCTGCAGAAGATTGGCGTCCCTGCGGTCCACGTGCGCCGGAAGCGACCTTGTCTTCCTTGTCTTCCTTGTCTTCCTTCCTTTCTCAAACATGTTGCATAAACAAACTCTGTTTTCCATGTAAATGTTGTTGCAAAAGACCATGGAAGACGCCCTGACACGTGGAAGAGAAAGATGCTCCCGCTAATCCACCACGACACCTCAAAGGTACAGGGCGTTCCGAAGGCCATGGCGTCCGGAAGCTGAGCTTGGCTGTTAAGCAGAGCGGGTGGGCGAGCTCCAGCAGTGCAGTGCAAAGCTGATTGTTTTGGAGCAATGTAATGGCCTCCAAGCGAAAAATATCGAAAAATGTAAGTGCTTTGAAGCTGCTGAAAGATGAAGTTCTGAAGCGAGTGACTCTGTGCCAGTTTGACTTGAATTTCTTGAGTCTTTCGCGACAGATCAACAGACTCGACTACCCCTCAAGACCCCATTTGGAGCAAGAGCATGTGTTCGTTGGAAGTGAGTGCTCAAATCCAAAGCTGCATATGCTGAGCACGACGAGCACTGCGAGCAAGGGAAACAAAACGAATAACAGTGTGTCTCATTTGTTTGTTTCAGATGTGTCCCAGCTGTCACCTTCTGAGGGTTGCTGTGGAGAACAAGAAGAAGCAGGCCACACCGGCTGTCCTTGGCGATGGAAACATATGTCGTCAGAAAACACTTTATGTATGTAGTAACCAGAAGCTACTAGGAACATCCTTTGCTCCTCAAAACCTGGATGAGAAGAAGCTGCCAGGGCTCGGCATGCGCCTGCGTGCTGATGTGAAGCAGGCACGTACAGTAAGATGCCCTTTGGGCACCAATAGACTTCAGAGAAAGAGATCATTGTTTGGCTAAGTTGCTGATCTCATCGTTTGTAAAACCATTTTTGTTCACTTCGTCAAGCCACTTGGCTATGGCTCATCCCCTTCTCGTCCCTTTCTCCTGCAAACTCGCGGCTTTGCGGAGGCCACGGAGATCGCCTGCGTTTCACCCGCTCACCCACGCGGAGTGATCGCGGTTTCACCCAGGCCCGCTGCTGAAGCGCAGCGGGAGATAGGCAGTGACACAGCGCAGCACCGGAGAGAACCGGTCGAAGGAAAAAGCGAAGAATCCCGGCCGCGTGCAGTGACTGACGCACCATGAAGCACCGCAGCATGCAGCATGTGTTTTGCTCGTTCCAGTGTTGGTATGGAAGGGCCCTGAGACGACCTGAGGGGGAATAGTGTTGAGATGTGTAGAGAGAGAGAGAGAGCGTTCAATGTCAACGTTTAACTAGGAGTTAGATGTTCTAGGGAATAGACAAGTGACCAGTCCGAGATCGAAGTGACAAGCACCTGGTAGCAGTATTCTTGTTGAGTTCAAAACTTGGCCGGAGGAGAGTTGATGACATGTCCCGATGACATGTCCCTAGTAGCAGTAGCGTATTTGCTCTTAGTAGTAAGGCCAGGAGCCCCTAGTAGCGTCCTTGCTCCTAGTAGCGATGCCCTCTGCTCCTAGTAGCTTCTTGCTACTAGTAGCTAGCAGCTTCTTGCTACTAGTAGCTTCTTGCTCCTAGTAGTACGGCCAGGAGCCCCTAGTAGCGTTCTTGTTCCTAGTAGCGATGCTCTTTGCTCCTAGTAGCCTTCTGCTTTGACCCTATGACATGTCCCAGCCGTTTGGATTGCAAGATGTCCGCCATGGCTGGGGAGCTGATCCTCCAGGCACAGTCTCTGGGTGCTCGCCGGCGTCGTAGAATCGGCCATTTGCCGGCGTCCTCAGAGGGACGTCTTGATATCAGTCTGCAGTCACAAAGGGCATCGCTACTAGGAGCAAGGAAGCTGCTAGGGGCTCCTGGCCTTACTACTAGGAACAAGAAGCTACTAGTAACAAAGGGCATCGCTACTAGGAGCAAGTGCCTTACTAGTAGTAACTGTGGTTTGACGCGCAGCCCGTCGCGGCCCTGAGACGGCAAAAGTGGAGCCGTCGAGCTTTTCTAGTGGTAGCGGAGCCCCGTTTTTGGGGCCGTAGTTTGTGGTAGGTAGGGCTTGAGCCTGAGCCATGTCGGGTGCCGATCTCGGAGCCGCGGCAAATGGAGCTGCTGATGAAGGGGACCCTCAAGCCCCGGTGACTGAGGAGATGCCTCTCCCCATTTTCCTACACCGCCATCGCTGAGGACTACATCGGTCTGCGAGGATGGCTGCACCTTTAGAGGTAGCTGGTGGAGAAGGTCGGAGGGAGGCGACGCGAGACGATGGTGATACGGTGGCTGAGGTCTCGACACCAAGCAGCCGGGACAGCGAGGACCCCTGGTTGCAAGGTGATCCCTGGCAACATGTCCCGCAGGAACAACAGCGGTATGCGAATTGGTCCGATACTTCATCCAGGACATCTTCAAGGGCATCCTCGGGGGAGTCCTATGGGTCATGGCATAAGGTGGACTATGGGGAATGGGCTGAGCGAGAGAGCCGAGGACCGATGTCTATTGGGCTGATGAGGCTTGGGAGCGATCGCATTGGCGAGGCTCTCAAGAGGGTTCAGGAAGTGGATGGTCGTGGTCGTCAGAGTCGGAAGGGCTGACTCAGGGGATGGCGGGCACGACCTGGAACCAAGGGTGGAGCTCGAATCGGAATTGGGAGACAGATTCAGAAAGCTCTTACCGCTCAGGACGTTCCTCGGGGTCATGGAAGTCGGCTCAAGAATGGCATGAGCCCGGACTACATCATGGTGTTCATGGCGATGATCCTGGAACTTCGTCCTCCCTATCTCAGGATCAAGGACGACGTGCTGAAGTATGTGCAGGTGACTGGCGGCGGCCTACACCAGTACCACCTGCCGGAGGCCATGGCGGACCAGTGGACGCAATGGTTGACGGCGAAAACCAGGAGGTGACCGCCGAGTCACCTTTGTCACCAGGAGCTCCAGCTGTTCGAGACACCTGGAACAAGCCGACAGGCGAGGTCCCATCTGGAGTGCCATCCATCGCTGGTGGAGCAGGAGGCAGCGGAAGTGGACAGGCGGGCTCTGGAGGAGGGAAGATCTCAACAACATACCCTCCGATCTTCTATGCCCGTCCAGGTGAAAGCTGGGAACAATATTGGAGAACGGTGACCTTTTGGCTGGCTTCCGAAGGCAAGTCACTGCCGGTGGAAATGCGGGGCCCCCGGTTGATGCAGCAGTTGAGGGAGCGGGCCGGCAAGATAGTTCAACATTTGACGGTTGATGAGGTGACCTCCATCCAAGGGGTTGACATCATAAAGAGGGAGATGGAGAAATCACCTATCATCAGGTTGTTGGACAACAAGAAGATCGACAAACGCAGGCAGAAGTTCATGAAGTTGGCCAGGCTTCCCAACGAGAGCATCGAAAGTTTCATCAACCGAGCCGAAATATATCGGCGGGAGAATGAGGCCTCACCGGCCTACCGTGTGGGTTCATGCTTCTATGTTGGCCACCTTTTGGACAGCTGCAAATTGACTCGCAAGGACTTGGCTCTCCTGAAGGCAGCCTGCGGTGGTGACATCGAGGATGAGACCAAGGTCATTTCTGCGATGCTGGAACTGGCAGAGCAGTTCGAAGGGGCGCCATATTGTCCCATCGGACGAGGTGAGCCGCAGTTGGATAATGAAGATCAATATCTGGTCCAAAAGCCAGGCTCTTCTTCCTCCGCTTCGACCTCAGTTTCGGATCCTCCTTCGTCCAACCGGCGTCGTCCTTTTCCAAGGGCCCGGGGTGGTGGGGGCCGTTTTGCCTCCTCGGGCCGACGCCGTTTCCGGGATGCTCTTGTGGCGATCCTGGAGGAGGATGGTGATGAGGACGTGTTGGAGGAGACATTGGCTGAAGTGATGGGCGAGGACTCCGTCGATGAAGATGAGGAGAAGGCTGACAATCCGGGCGAGATGACGGAGTTCACACCGCCAAGTACGCATGACACCTTTGTGACATCAGGGCACCCGGGTGAGGCTTCTGGCACGATCTCCCCGCTTGCAGAGATCTATGCACAAGAGCTCAAGGCCCGCAATCGCGTGAGGGAGATCAAGAAGATGAGACAGTACTTCCAGAAGGAGACTCCGGGTGGCCCTACAGCGGCTCGGGGCGAACATGTCAAGAAGTGGGTGGCAGAGCAACAGAAGAAGGAGCCATGTTTTATCTGCCACCAATTGGGGCATTGGAGCCAAGAGTGCCCGTACAGGCGAAGGGACAAGAATGTCCATGCCGCCAATGTGACTTTTCCGGTATCACCGCCTCAGCAACAGGACTGGGCTTTGCTGGAGTCACTGGCCGCCTCTGGAGTGTATATGGTGAGTCATGATGGGAGGACGGTGACTGGATCGGGGACACTTCATCCACCGGAACGGGAACCCCATCAAGTCTTTTGGGCTATAGACGAATTGGACACCCGGACACACACCAAGATGATAGTCGACTTGGGCTGTATGAAGACGGTAGCCGGAACTACGTGGATCAACCGGGTGGTTCGGAAGTGGAAACAGCGGGGCTGGTTTTTGAGAGTGACTCCAGAAGAAGAGCAATTTCGTTTTGGTGATGGTCAAGTGGTCACCAGCCAGTACTCTGTCATGTTTGAGGTGACGATTGCTGGCATACATGGGGTGCTACGGGTATCCGTGGTGCATGGAAACTGTCCTCCTCTACTGTCGAAGCCGGTCTGTTCCGAGCTGGGGTTGGTCATCGACACTTCATCTCATACGGTGTCTTCACGGAAACATGGGGTAAAGGCATACGGTTTGGAACAATCGAAGGGAGGCCACTATGTGATTCCGATTGACGAAGACTCCGAACTCTCGTGGACCTCGATCGATCGTGGATTTGAGATGCCGGAACACGTGGAGATTCAGGTGTTCGATGCGCCTCGGGGCTCAGCAATTCGCACAGGGGACGATCTTGCGACACCCCTTCCCGGCCTGCGCCTCGTGCATGGCGACGCGCCGACGACCGGAGCACAAGCCGGAGGCCTACGAGTTGTCCCAGACCGAATGGGAAAACGTGGGACTGGATCCGGAGGAGGACCTGCTCGAGATGTCCGCCGAAGAAGCTCCGGAGAACGAGCAGGAGGTCATGGGCGCCTTGCGGAATCCTTTGAGGACGGCGAGGAGGCAGGTGCTGAATCGACACATCCGGAAGTCTTCATCGCAGAGCCCTCCAGCAGCCGCCCGGAAGCAGCGGCAAGCCAGGCCTGCTTCAGCCAAGAAGACAGCTCCGGAAGAGCCAGCATCAGCGTCTACGGCATCCAGGCCTCCACCGATGCAGATGAATATGGAGCAGCTCCAGGCGATGATGATGCAGATGCAGGAGTTCATGCAGGGCCAGAGCCCGGAGAAGCCAGAGGCCCAGGCCCGGGGACGCAGCAGTGGACGAGAGAAGATCCCGGAGTCCACGAAGGTCAAGAAGACGCCGCGGAAGGTGAGGACTGCGGCATTGACGGGGGACGAGGCACCGTTTCCGACACTCTCACGGTGTTCTCCGACGACCCCACCATGAATTTGATGATCAGCCTCAAGTCCCAAACCATGACCTTCAAATGGAAGATGCTGCTGCTCCTGCTCCGGATCAAGGCTGCGGTGGAAACCGAGAAGAAGAAATGGCGCCGCAATCCCAGATGGATCATGTGGATGCAAGGGAACCACATCGCGGCACTATGGGGGCATCTGGGAGCGGCACGACAGCTTTGCTACTCGCCAAAGGTGGTCTGGCTGGGCGAGTAGAAGAGGGAACAGAGCAGAAGCCGGCCGAACCTACGGCAGAACACTGGGGGCGGCGGCTGGCGACTATGTGACGGCGAATGACGACCACGAGCTCTTCCACTCTGAGTTGAAGGACACTCTTGAGGTCTCCGATGGTGACTTCTCGGCGGAGGGTGACGGCACGGGCAGGGCACCGGTGAAGCACACCTTGAACCGCCGCCAGAGACGCTCCATCGAACAAGGTGTCCAGAGGGCCATTCGTGCACACAACAAATTGTACGATGTCCTCGATGCCAAGTCTGCGGAAGTCGGCCGCTGGACTCTGTTGGAGGTATTTGCCGGTAAGGCCAGGTTGTCAACACGGGCCCGCCAGCGGAATGCTTGTTGGGATGTCCTACCCCCTCAAGATATTCTATCCGGCGGTCTGGACCTTTTGGACGCCGAGCACATCGAGCTTCTCAAGGATGTGATTCGCGCTCAAGAGCCAGATGTGATCACGCTGGCCCCTCCTTCTAATCCTTGGTCGGCCTGGCAGCGACTTCGCAAGCGGAAGGCGGCCCTTCGTGAACTCCGTCGCCAACACCTACCCTTTTGGAACTTGGTGGCATGGTGTTGGCAAGTTCAGAATGCCACGGGGGGCTTGGTGGTTCTTGAGCAGCCTGCCACTTCTGAAGCTTTGAGGCTGCCAATGATGACACAGCGCCAGAATGTTCATCAACGAGTGGTGCACATGCGCAGGATGGGCATGAAGGACCGCATTTCACACATGCCGCACAAAAAAGCCCACTGCTGTGCAGTTGAACCACGAGGCCATCAACACGCCAATGTTCCCGGAGATGACTTGCGACTGTGCTCCTGGCCAACATCAGCCAATCGAGGGTTCAGTGCGCTTGTGGAACCCGGTGGAAGGCAAGTACCAGCAGATCAAGCGGTCCACGCTGGCGGCTGAATGGCCTGAAGGTTTTTGTGACTGGCTTCTCAACGGCTTGGAGGCCTTGCGAGAAGAGAGTGCCGAGGTCACCCTGGAAGTTCATCAACACACACCGTCGTCACGTATTTGGGAGGCTGTACCTGTGGAGGTGGAGGCTACACCTGAAGGACAGTTGAGGCAGCAGATGAACATTCTAGATGGTCATCACCGGTACGACTACATCTCGTTCCTGGGCGTCTCCGCCAATTTGACCAAGAAGATCAAGTCGACGCTAGCTCATCTGCATGTGGCGCTCGGCCATATCTCCAACGAGAAGTTAGCCCGGATGATGTCCCAGAATGGTGCCAAGACCTCAGTCCTTCAAGCCATCAAGGACCTCGACTGTCAGGTGTGCAAAAGGGTGACGGCACCAACACCCACTCCCAAATCAGCCTATGCTCGGCCGATGTCCTGGAACGTGAGATTGTGCTCTGACACCTTCTACGTTTGGGATGCCAAGGCCACCAAGTATGCAGTCACCCACATCATCGACAGCTTCTCCTTGTACCAGGTGGCGATTGCCGTGATGGATGCAACTGCCCAGACGACAGTCGGGCTACTCCGGGATTCCTGGTTCCGAGCGTTTGGGCCCCCGCAGATCCTGATGACCGATCAGGGGCCCGAATACCAAGGGGCCGTGGAACCGCTGCTTCGAACTTTCGGCGTGTTCCACGACATGGTACCACCGAGTGCATCATGGAGAATGGGGCTGGCCGAAAGACATGGTGCGGTGTTGAAGGTGATGTTGATGAAGATGATCAAGGAGCGCACCATCATTGGCCTTGAGGAGATGCAAACAGCAGTGGTGGCTGCGACTACAGCGAGGAACCTGCAAACACGGGTGGCTGGATATTCGCCCATGCAGCTCATCTTCGGCAAGGAAGTCAGCGTGCCGGGGAACCTCATGGAGGCCATAGCAGGGCAGTTCCACTTCAAGGTGTCGCAGCCCCAAACAATGGATGAAGCACACCATCGAGCTGCTTCAATCCGGAGAGCCGCTACAGAAGCCTATCAATGGCTGGAGGCTAATGAGGCTTTGAAGAAGGCAGCGGGCTCGAGAGCACGCCTACCGAGGATGGAATTGTTGGTCGAGGGCTCCCAGGTCATGTTTTATGAGCCGCCAGTGAGTCGACGGGGGTTGGCTCGGAGACTGCAGGACAACATCTCTTGGGTGGGTCCCGCGGTGGTGGTGGCAGTGGAAAGACTTGATGGGGCCATCAAGCGTGTCTGGATCAGGTACAGGCATAAGCTCCGTGGCCTCCCGCTCGAGCGCATCAGGTTGGCCACTGGGGATGAGATTGAGGCCACCAAGGTGACAAAGGAAGCCCTACAACAGTTGGCTGACCAGCTGAAGCAAGGTCGAGTGAATGCCGAGCTGATCCCAACTCATGAGGAAGTTGAAGCACGAGAAGGCGGAGAACAAGTTCGTGATGCACCACCTTCGCGTGCTTCTGCGCCCGATCCTCGTTACCCGGCCATGACTTTGAGTGATGATGAACAAGAGCCGTCGGATGACGATGTCGGGCCGGAAGAGCTGAAGAAGGCTACCTCCGTGTTGGACGACCTGCCGATGTCAGTGGCAGCCAAAATCAGGAAGAAGGGAGATTTGGAGGAGCGTCGCTCGACTAAGCGGAGAATGTCCCCGACAGAACTGGAGGAGTCTTCGATTCGGGCGACGGTGGCGTCATCATCAGCAGTGGATCCCGCCATGCAGACAGTCCGACAGAAGCGGGACTTCTATGAGACTGCCTTCCGCACTACGCAGGAGCACCTCAAAAAGATGAAGACCAAGTTGGAAAAGAAGAGCGCCCTGATGATGGAGCCGGTGGTCCCAGCTGCAGTTGCGGACAGGTCCGAGGCATGTGAGAATGGAGAGTCAGAGGAGGCTACGGGCAGTGAACCCGTCTACAGCCCATACACATCGGAGGATTCCAACCAGACGATGGCATCGATCAGCTCGCCCTTCATTGAGGTGGACATGTTTGAAGAGCCCTGGCAGCGTGAGGGTGAGGTGACCGACTACTCCGCCAGGATGCCTGAACACGAAGTTCATGTGACTGATATGGCATCAGAATGTCAGCCTTTGGACTACGACCATGATGTCCACCCGGCTGGCTGGCGAGCGGACGGCTTCCGCAGAGTTGGGATCCTGAGAAATCCATCTTCCTGTACCAGAGCGAAAGTGCCCGCTGATCGATGGAGGCTGCTGGGGGATGTCCCTAGCCGACTGCGTCGGCCACTCACGCAGGCCGAGGTCTTGGAAGCATATCGAAAGGGCCAGTTGAACACTGGACAGACACGCCCGGCAGTGGCACGACCTGGCCTACATGAGGATGATGATCGTGAGGGGATAGCCTCAAATCCACGGGGAGAACGAGAATAGTGGCTGCACTCTCCATATCAACGTGAGGTATGGCGGGTGCACTTGACTCCCAGGCGGAGGATGTTTGTACCTGGGGTGGTTCCTGATGAAGATCATCTACAAGATGGGGACTACCTGATGCAGTACCTGGACTACAAGGTCTACGAGCGACTCAAGTGGGATATCAGACCCCTCTGGGCACCAAGGAGTATGTCCTGGACAACATCCATTGGAGGAGCTGGAATACCTCCCTGGATATGAACCGGTTGTGGAGGGGGATCACCCGCTTTGTGACGTTGGATCCTGCCACGGACTACCCGGTTCTGGCGACCTGGATGCAGGGTAGACAAGCGGTTGAGGAACTGTGGAGGACGGCAGCTCGGGCTAACCAGGCCTACAAGTCGGTGATCAAGGAGGTGAATGTCACAGAGTTAGGCCAGGGCATGCCCTTGGAGAGCGAGCAACACGCCCAAATGATGATGAATGTGCTGGGCTACTTTGAGGCCTTCGCCACTGCTACGGCCTTGCCTCCGCCGGCTCCTCCGAGCCCGCAGGGAGGTTTGCTCGAGTTGGTGGAGCTGGACAGTAACGCTCTGCAGGATGTTGACAAGCCGGAGACTGGCAAGGTGCGACTTGAGCTGCAGTGGAACCAGTTGTCGCCAGCCTGGCAGGCAGCATTTGAACAGCCGATCATTGCTGCCCTGCACATTTATTTTGAGCACGATGCCCTGGAGCCCGTCATGCCGGAGGACTCAGTCCATGATTCGGAGATTCTGCCGAGCAGGTTCGTGCTTGTCAACAAGAGCGATCCAAAGAATACTCACCCGGCGGACGCCGATCTGGAAGAGGCCAAGCTCAAAGCTCGCCTGGTCATTGCTGGCCATCGGGATCAGTGTGCGGGTGACTATGCCACTGAAGCGCCCACTGCCACTCTCCTGGCACACAATTTCATCTGCTTTGTGGCCGCCCAGTACCAGTGGAAAATGTACTTTGCTGACATTTCCGCAGCATTCCTCCAGGGCGATTATCTCCCAGAGGGGCGGCGAGTGTTTTTGAAATCGCCCACCAACTACCCGCTCTTCGTCCGCCAGTACCTGATGTCCAAGGTACCTCCTGGCGCCCGGACGGACCTCTTCCGGATGAAGAAGGCGGGCTTTGGTCTTGCGGAGTCGCCGCGCCTATGGTATCAGCGCTTCAGGCGGGACATCATCGCCATCGGCGGTAGAGAGTTGCAGCTGGCCCCAGGTGTCTTTTCGTTCTTCGACACCGAGGTCAAACTGTGGGCGATGCTGGCGGTGCATGTTGATGATGTGAGGTTCATCTGCAGCCCAGTGGCAGAGAAGGAGCTGTGGCCCAAGTTGAAGGGATTGTTCACGTTTGGTGATTGGGTGCACCCCGAGGAGTTCACCAAGTTTTGTGGTAGATGGGAGCGACAGCTGCCTGATGGGACGGTGGAGGTGCAGATGAACGAGTGCGCCAAGAAGGTGAAGGAACCTCCCTCGAGATCAGCTTTTCGGGCGATGGCTCCGCTGATGCCGAATGAGAAGTCATGGATTGGTGCCATCATCGGACAGTTGAACTGGTTGGCACGTCAGGCCCGAGCTGATCTGCTGTACGGCTGTTCGAGGATCCAGCAACTTGCGGGCACCAATGACCCGGCGGCTTTGCAGGAGCTCAAGGTGCTGGTGGAGCGAGCCAGGGAGCCTCACACCCAGGTGTTCAAGAAGCTTGGCTGTGGTGTGGACAAGATGATTGTCCTTGGCGTTTCTGACGCCTCGTTTGCTGGCATGCCCCGAGGCCGATCGCAAGGAGGATCAGTGCTGATGTTGGCAAACCCTCTGGTGCTGGAAGGAGCAGCACCGGTTTGCGTGATCGCATGCCATTCAGGAGTCCTCAAGAGGGTGGTCCGATCTTCACTTGCGGCCGAGATCTCCCAGGCCGCAACGACCATGGAGGAGGCGGACTACCTGAGGGCTTTCATGGCGGAGGCCTTGGATGGAGCGTTTACGCTCCGCGGCTGGCTTGCAGCTGTGGCCAAATGGCGGCAGATGTCAGTGCTGGACTCGCGCACTGGCTATGACCTCCTCAATGGGTCAGCATTGGGAGAGGACAAGCGCCTTGCCATTGACGTGGCGGCGATGCGCCAAGCACTCCAAGAAGATGGAGCCTCACGGTTGGTCAGATGGGTGCCTGGTGAAGAGATCATTGCGGATGACCTCACCAAGCTTGCTGGAAATGGCCGACTGATGAGGGTGATGTCCTTGGGCAGTTGGGCCTTAAAGGACACGGAGTCCGCGAAGAAACTTCGCGCTGATGCTGCCGCTCGTAAACGAGCTTTTAGGCAGCGAAAGGCATCAGCTCCAAAGGGGGCTGGTGTGGTTTGACGCGCAGCCCGTCGCGGCCCTGAGACGGCAAAAGTGGAGCCGTCGAGCTTTTCTAGTGTAACAAGAAGCTATTAGAATTAAATTAGACTAAATTAGACTTTAATTTAATTCTAATAGCTTCTTGTTACTACTAGTAAGGCATTTGTTACTACTAGCGTGGCACTTGTTACTGCAAACAAGGTTTGCAGTCTGGAGTTACTTTCCATGTTGTGTCCTTCGTACTTACAGCCCTCGTCACAGTTTGGTCTTCCACTCCACGATCCAGTGCAAGTTAAATGCGAGAAAGTTCTTTTGGGCCTCCCCGAATCGACTTGCTGCTTCAGACAAAGTTTCTTGACTCATTGACCAACCCTTCCTAACGCTAGTAATTAGGTGGAGGCCATCGCTGGTAGGTTTTGACCCACCCTTTATGAAACAAGCCTTTTGATGTCGAACATACGAATCGAAGCAGAGGACAAGAAGCTACTAGGGGCTCCTGGCATCGCTACTAGGAGCAAAGGGCAGAGGGAACGAATCGAAAGAAAAGAACGAGTCGAGCCTTGTCGCAGGGATGGAGCAACTGGACGTGACGCGGCTCCTCGCTGGCCTCAAGCGGGGCGCAGTTCCGGGTGCTGAAGCTGAGTGCACGATGCAAGGGTTTTGGGATCGAGAGACGGACCGAGTGACGGAAGAAAGAGAGTGAAGTGAAAAAGGATGAACGGAAAGAGGAAAGGCTCACTGGTTGGTTTTGGAGTATCAAGTGCCGTTTTCTATGCAAGTTTTTTTAGATTTCTATGCAAGCTATCAATCTATCCGACAAAGATAGAACAAGTATTCGCGAAGCGGATCTCGCTCCGAGGCATCAGTCGTTTTGACGGCTAAGGTGCTGATGGAAGCGTGGAGTTCTTGTGCAACAAGCCACTGCCCCAGTTTTGGGAATAGACTCAGCGCATACCGGTTCACAGTAGGAGGTTTTTGAGGAGGTTCCGCAGGAGGTTCGAGTGCGTGGCAGTGCAGGTCCTAAGTTGTTGCGCATGTTTCAGACCAGAGCAAGTTGAGGAGCCGAAGAAGGCACGTGAAAAAAAAGGAAAGGATTACAGAACAGGTCTAAAGGTGATTGAGCCCCTAGTAGCTTCTTGTTCCTAGTGGTAAGGCCAGGAGCCCCTAGTAGCGTCCCTTGCTCCTAGTAGCGTCTAAAGGTGATTGAAGGTGTTCTGGTCTGTCCTTTTTGGGGGCGGCTTCCAGTGAGGGACGAAGTATCGGATACAGGCTGCAGGTCCGTGAAGGGATCGGAAGGCACAAGCACAGGTGAGAAAGAACCGAAAGAACCTTGAGGCCTTTTTCTTTCTGTCTTTCTTCCTTTAGACCTTTGTGTTCTTTCTTTCAGACCTTGTTTCACCTTGATGCTTTCCGATGCTTTAGATCACGAAGCTACTAGTGACAAGTGCATCGCTAGTAGTAACGAGAAGCTACTAGGGGCTCCTGGCATCGCTACTAGGTAAGGACGCGCCTAGGGGCTCCTGGCCTTACCACTAGGAACAAGAAGCTACTAGTAACAAGTGCTTGCTGGGGCCGTGCTTGGACTTATTTCGCACCTTGGCACTCCACACCACAAGCCACACATTGCAAGTCACCACCTTATGCTTCACCATTACATGAATCACGTGACTCCACCAATACTACCCTCTTCTTTGAGGAAACGTCCACCTTTGGAGATATTCAGAGATTCCCAACGGTAAATGTAAAGGAGATCAGGTTGGCGATCTCGTGACCCAACAGTTTTGTCGAAGTCTTCCAGTCGACTTCGTGAGGTTCTCTGGCCTTGTTGATCGCTTGAAGCAGGCTGAGGCAAATCCGGCGAATCTGATTCCAACAAGAAACAACTAGTAATAAGCATTCCAACCTACTAGCAATGGCCTCCAACCTAATTCCAAAGATCACTGGTTCATCACCATGATCATACAAGACTTCATGAGAAGAGTAGTACTCACGGCCCAACCATTGCATTCAATGGGACACTAACGATGATGGGTAAATATGAATGTGTTCTCGTGGCATCCCTCCAAAGCAAAAGAAGCCAAAGCGAGACAGCCAATGGTAAGCTAAGGTGTTTGTTTGTTCCTTTTTCGAGGCGAAAGAGGCACAAGAGAAAGAGAACTGTGCCGTCCTGGAGGTGCCTAACGGCGAGCCTAACTTGGTTCTTGAAAGCTAAAAGTTGCTAGGTAAGAGAAAGAAAAGAAAGACATGAAAGGAAAAGGAAAGGTCAAGGTCTAAAGCTCTAAAGAGAAGGAAAGACACAACAAAAATGAAAAACAAAAATGGAAAGAAAGGTCTCGACAGTTCATGTCCCCTCGGCTCCCTTCATGATTTCATTTGCAAGGCTAAATTGCAAGCTGAAGAGCAGCAAGCAGATGCTGAAAGGAGTTCATCCTGTGGGAAGAAGACTTCAAGCTCCAACGCAGAAGTCATGGGATTCTGCAGACTTGCAACTTCAGCTGAGTCTTTCTCCAATTAGCCATCGCCCTCGCTATTGGGTTGGAGGCCATTGCTATTATTTGTGCCCCTAGTAGCGTCCTTGCTCCTAGTAGCGATGCCCTTTGCTCCTAGTAGCGTCCTTGTTACTACTAGTAAGGCACTTGTTACTAGTAGCGATGCACT